GAAACCACCATTTACAAGGCAATGTTCAGGTGTATAATGTAAGGATCCCTGTGGCACTGTCCTCGAGTGAGCATAGCTTTAGAGGGTGAGCGGTTAGCGCTCCAGTAGAGGAGCCATGTTGCGATTGAGCGCGCTGCTGTGCCCCACCAAGCCAGATGCATACTTGTCGGCAGCTCTGGCAGAGCTGCCCAAGTCGCCCAAGTTTCCCAAGTCGCCCAAGTTGCCCAAGTCGCCCAACTTGGAGGACTCCAAGCAATGCTCATCGACCTTGTCCCAGGCGTCGACGTGGACAACCGAGTCCGACTCCGAGGTGTTTGTGGCTTCAAAGCAAGAACTGCGACGGCAAGTTCAGCAGCAGCAGCTGAACGAGTTCTTGCAGTTGCACGAGTTCCAAGCGGTGAACAGGCCGAGATCCTGCGGGTTGACACTTTTTGGCGAGAGCAAGATTTGCCCCATCCATGTGGCCGCGCAGAACGGAGACTACCAGATGGTAAGGATGCTAATAGCATCAGGCGCTGACCCAGAATCCAAGACCTCCAAGGGCCGCAAGGCGGTGGACTTTGCTCGTGCGGCAAACTGGGATGGCTCGCACGAGCCGGTGCTTTGCTTGCTCACCGGCCAAGTCAAGATCGGCACAGCTCGAGAGCTGCGCAGCGTGAGCACGGAGAGCTTTTAAGCGCAGTCTGTGAACCGTACTTGACCTGTTCAGTTGACACACGTTAAATGTTTGGCTGGTAGAATTCTTGAAGCCATTTGGCTGTGGCTCAAACAGATGTACGAACAAATTTGCATTTTGGTAGATGGAACCAAAGACCAACAAATTGCGCGTAACCCTAGCTCTTCAATTTTGAGCCCCAGCCATTTATGTCAAGGCCTAGACACCTTGCACTTTGGGCTTCCGGACCGTAGCCATTCCGAGTCGCAGCACTGAGTGCCTGGGTCTGAATTCAGTGGCCGTGCTTCGCAGTAACTCGCGGCTCTGATTTGTAGGGGTTGCTCCATTTTCCTGGTTGGAACCTCCAAAAGTGCGAGATCCCACCAGATTGCAACTTTGAAAGGGGAAATCCAAATGGGAAATTGGATGGAGCTAAAGGCCTTGATTGCCTTGGCTCGAGTTTTGACGGCGGTCTCGACACGGCGTCTTCCAGAGACCAGCGACTTTGAATCCGAGCAAGACTTCCTTGAAGGGGAAACACCCACATTGTGGGCCGATCTGTGTGCGTATGCTAGTCAAGGCATCTCTCTTTGAAAGGAATACAAACGGTGGACAAGCTTTGGCTGCGTCACCCGCTGCGTGCGGCTTGCGGGGCACCTCTTCGGAGGGGACCCCGCAGTTTTTTTTCTTTCTTTTTCCCCAGATGGCTTCGTAAGGTACCGAGCAAGCATCTGGGTTGGATATTTCCCGAACAGGGGCCCACTCTTACCAGGGGGCCGTCGTTTTTTTTTCAGAGCCACAATCAAAACCCGGGTAGATGAAGGTTAGTAAGGGACGATCCTAACCATAAATAGCTGCGGATATCCGTTCTTAATCCTGTACATGGTTCTGGGTAGACCATTTTAGTACCAGGTTTTGATTGCGACTCATGTCCTTACCTTGCTTTCGCCAGCCGACGCCTGGCTTTTCCATCGATCCAACTGCTGGTTCGATAGGCAGGGAATGAGGGAATGACCCCGATAAGCCAGCCCTATGGTTATCCCCGTCCGGTTCATTCCCAAAACCCTGCGTCATTTCATTCCCTACTCAGCAAGCTTCGGAATTGCTCTTTTCCAGAAAGTATTTGTCCATTTTGGAGGGCACACCAATTATCCATCGCCAGTTTCCAAAGCTGCGTCTGAAGCATCTCATCGAGTCTGCTCGGGAGATTTGGTGCTCTGTCTTCCTAACCGGAACCAGACAAGAGAGACACAAAAACACGGGCTAGAAGCACATTTTGCGACTTAGTGCGTGAGGTAATATGCGGGAAGTCGCAGAAGCTGGCCGGGTGAGGATGCACAGCGATGAACCTTCTCTCGATCACGTTAATGTCACAAGCAAGCTTCAGGGTTTCCTATACACCTTTTGGTTTTGAACATCGCTTTTGGGGCCAACTCAACGTGAGCTTCCTTTTTGGTGATGTCCAACCGGGAAATATAGGGAGCCCTGAGTCTTGAAGGAATTTAGCACAGCCAGCAACGGTGCCGACAAGCTATGGCCTCCCCGCTCCATTCGCACACGCAGTCTTGCTCGAACTGTGCGTGTCCAGAGTACGCCCATGAACTGTAAAGAAAGACCAAATCAGGCTTGTTTGTCTGGAGCCGGAGGCCATACTCTTGGCTTGTGCTCCGACTTGTGCGGAAGTAGATAGAAATCCGCCCCGAGGCCCAAGGCAGTCCGAATGGGGAAGTTGAATGTTTTCGAAGGCGACCTTACCCAGCAGCTGGTGGTTGAATCGTCTACCAGGGATATCCATCTATTTCCCCTAAAATGACATCTATGTTGACGACCTTCCCCAGCTGTGCCAATGCCCCTTCTTGTCTTCAGGGCCGAAGGCGTTGGTATGCAGTTTGCTCCTTGCTCCAACGTAAGGCCGAGCCGCCCCATCAAGGTTGCGGTGGGTTTCATCCTCCCAACCACCGGGATCTCCGGTGGAAACCTTCAAACCGTGGGGTGTCTTCATGGCCGACGAGCTGAGTTTGACCGTGTGCAGCTGCGAGCTTAGCTTCAGATGCGAGACCTGAGATCCGAACTCGAGTCCAGAAATCCATGCAGCGACTCGGTTCTGCGTGTCGAGTAGCCCGTAAATGCTTGTTTCCCTAAGAAATCATGGGTGAAGCAGGACGTTTGTTGCGTGAACATATTGAATTTCTAGTTGATTGAAGTTTTTTTTTTTTTTTCCCAGACCCCAGTGTCTTAATTTTTCCAGACCTCATTTCTCAGCTGCCTTCAATTGGTGATTTGTATTGGTGGTTTGGTGGTGTGGTTCCCCATTGCCCTCTACAAGAACCCCATTAGGGGCAGGCTGATATGTGAGGGATATGGTCAGTACCCCCCTAGTTCCCTCTACTTAACCATAGTAAACCTGCCCGCTACTCACAATACCCACTGCTGTTTTTTAGGGTACGATGTCGATCCTTAACTGAAAATAAGGTATTTTCATCCAAACCAGGTTTTTCCAAAAAGCCCCAGAGCTATGTGGGTACGTGGGTGTGAGGTGTAGTTAGGCATGTGATCGTTCTGGTAACGTTTGGTGTCTGACCCTCTATAGGCTTGGATCCATGCTTCTTTCTTTTTGGAGGAGACCCGCGTACAACACTTTGACGACATGTGGAAGTTGGTATGGTTCCGTCGAAAGCGAGCCCCTGTAGCACTCTTAAGCCTTCCGACGGATCAATTGCTGCTGCAAGAACCCTGCCTTGATAGCCAAGTTGCGATCGCTTTTTTCAGTCACTGTTGCTGGTTTTTGGGGCAAGTGCATGGAACAACTGGCGATCCAGGTGCTTCCTTGGGTGTCTTTTTGTGGGTGAAATGGGTTCCAGCAATACTGTGGATGGACGAAATCCTGCACCAACTAAGACGCGAACTAAGAGGCCCTAGAGGGATGATTCCCCTTCCAATACCAACGAACGGTGGTTTTCTTCATGGTTTCCAAGTGGTGCGAGCGGATTTGGTCCATCCACGTAGGCATTCGCGCCGCGAGATTTTTCCCGGGCGAGGTTTCCTAGGCGCCCAGTATCGCGGCTCGCTGGGTGAAAGGCTCCGGAGTGAGCCCCAGAAACTGGACTTGTGGCACCCCAAAAACCAACGGAAGGTGGAGTGGTTCGGGGAGGTGGGGAAAAACGGAGATCTTCAGTTCTGGTCTTCGGTGCAAAGCTTGGGGAAAACTCGCGCTTACAGTTTTTCTTCTTCATTTTTTTTTTAAATGACGTGATGGGTTCTTTCGGGGCGACTCCGAGACAAGTAACACTTGTTTTGGAGGTTTGGATTGGTAGAGGGTCAATGGGAGACCCTTCCTTAACCGCCAAACCATCAATCCCAACCACCTGGATAGCCAAGTTGCGATCGCTTTTTTCAGTCACAGTTGCGATCGGTTTGTGGGGTTTTGAGTGCATGGCAAAAAGCGATCGCCACTGGCGATCCAGGCACTTGGAAAGACGCGGATTCAGGTTGCAAAGCTCCACGTGGTCAAGCCTGCCCACGCCAGGTGTCGGGTGCCAATTTCAGGTGCAGGTCCGGGGCCTGGCCTTTGGAGTCTTGCTGGCATAGGGTGCCCCTTTTGGTGGTTTTGCTCGAACAATAGATGGCGATTTCTGGTTTACCTGGTCTATTTATCCTAAAGGACACCTATAGGATCTTTGGAATGACCGAGTCAGGGTTTTGGGAATGAACTGGTTTTGGGGTTTCCCTTGCAGGAATCCAAATCCGGGGATGAATAAAAAAGGGGTCATTCCATTTCTCAGAAGCCCCGATCGAACCGATCGCAAGATAAGGTTGCTCATTTTCCCTTGGTTGAGCTCAGAGAGGTGTTGCCCAAGCCCGAGCCCAGCCGAGGATTTGCCTGAAGCCTTTGGTTCGACACGCATGATTACATAGGTGTCCTTGTTGGTTGTTTTGCTCGAAAAACACCTGGTGGTTTAATCATTTACCAGGGCCATCGATTTCGCCTAAAAGGACACCTATGCGCATGAATGATCTTGGAGAAAGCACCTTTGGACAGAGTCCCCCTTTTGCGATATCTGACTTTGAAGGGGAGCCCTTTTCCATGGCGACAGAGATCCTATTGCGACGCTGATCTCCTGCGACGGGGTCTTCAAACATTGGCTCGTTTGAAGATGACCTGCTTGGCCAACTTAAGACTTTTTGGCTTCTGGAGGGGTGTTGTGTTTAAAAGAGGCGTGTCATATACGTATATTCTTTAAATACACGATGGTGGACAGTTGCCGGTTTTGAGTTGAATGTGACGTCCTGTGGTAGATTGTGTTGGGACATGTCCTTTAAAGAAAGCAATCAGCGGTCTCACAGAAAAGTTTGGCAACCCGTGCCTGTCCACTTGGAGATTGACCACCAGAAAAAACAGCCCCAGGCCCCAGCTCCCGCCGGCGGATGTTCGTTCATGCGCAGGTGGCTTGGAGCCATTTTTACTGGCCCAAGGTGCGGCTAAGCCTCGGCCCCTCGTTTCGCCCTAGTTCCAACTTAGCCTTTGTTTCAATGCTACGATTCCTGGTGCTGCTGGTTTTGGAGAGTACAGCAGCCTGGAAATGGATGGAGAACATTAAGGCGGGAGACGAGAAGCGATGAAAAGCCCTGCCCTTCAACTCACTCTGCTTTCTCCTTTCGCCTTTCTTTTGTGCCTCCACCAACCCCCACTCAAACTCAAACCAAACCCAACTCAGACTCCTCTCCAACACTTTCCCCAAGAAGCCCCCCCCCGCAAGAACCCTCAGATCTCCGCCACTGTTCTTTTCTGCTTCGCCCTCCCTTCCCCCGTTTTTCCCTTTCCGACTCGACTGGCCTCGTTTCCCCTCGCCGCCTCGCTCGACTGGTCGCCATCTCCGCCAGATGCCCTCGCTGCAGAACCTGCAGCGGGGGGGCCGCTTCGGGGAGAAGAAGCTGGTGGTCATCACGGGCACCTCCTCGGGCCTGGGCAAGGCCACCGCCAAGGCCCTGCTCCGCGCCAACGCCCGGGGGCCCAGCCGGAGAAAAAGACAATTCGGTCAGAGGCAGAGTCGGGGGGGGGGGGTGAGGCGGGGAAAAAAGGTCAGAGTCAAGAGCTCCGACCTGAAACCGCAAGAGCTCCAAGCTGAAGCCTCTGAGCCACAATCAAACCTGAGGTTTGTAAGGGATGATTCCCAACTATTATTTTTTTTCTTTCTTTTTTTTGGGGGGGGGCCGCCTTTTTGATTACGTGGGCTTTTGGGTGGCCCTTGTGATTGTTTACAGGGTGGTTTGGTGACCCCTGGAAAATATTAGGTTTTGATTGTGACTTCCATGCTTAGAAGACCTGGACAGGGTATTACCCCAAACATCGATCGCAACAGTGACTGAAAAAAACGATCACAACTTGGCTATTTAGGTTGTCAGAAGTCCCTTCTAAGGGGTTGGTGAGTGCATGGGGGACAAATATAACAGCAACCGGCGATCCATTGGATTCCTTTCATCTGGAGAGGAGAGGCGATTCGTCCGACGCAGGACTACCATGTGGTCGGCGCTGTGCGGGACCTCGAGAAGATGCAGGCGAGGAGATGGCAAGAGGGGGAAGGAGCAACATGGCACTTGTTTGTCTTCTTCTTTGAAATAGAGGAGCATGGCTTAGCTTGGACTTCAAACTTCCGACGTCTCATGGGAAGTCTGCTGGTTGGCTTGCTGGCTGGCTGATCTTTGGGGTTCTACCAGATATGTCACCACCATTGTTTGCTTCAGGATTGTCATCCTCCAAATTGGGTCCCCGTGGTTGCCATTCTTTTCATGGGGGCAAGTTGAAACCGAGGGTGGGCTTTGGGGGGTCAGGTGGTGGCGGAGTTGGAGGGCTTTGACATGGACAGCTTCACCCCGATGCAGGCCCCTCTCGGGGCCCGAGGAAAGAGCCCGAAAACGGCTTGGCTCAAATGAAGGGAGGCTGGTGGGGGACTCGAGGGTTTCCCGCCTCAAAATGACCATCGCCAGTTGCGATCGTCTTTTTCCATGCACTCAAAGCCCCAAAAACCGACCGCAACGGAGACTGAACATGCGATCGCAACTTGGCGATCTAAGTATGTCGGGTTTTCGCGGCTCCGTGTTTTGCTTGAGTCAAGGGGAAACCGGGAGGTTCTGCAAACCGGCCTCAGAGGGTTGGTATCGCCATCTCTCGCGACCCCAGAAAAGGGAGCCCAGAAAGTCCCAGGCCTCACTCGGCGTCTCGGCGGTTTGAGCGAAATGCCTCTTCTCCCGACTCGTTTCCCCCCAAAACCACAAAGGGTACAGTACCCTCAAGAGAGAGAGAGAGAGATTCATTTTGATCCCACTCGCAAGGAGCCATGGCCGAAGAAGGTGACTTTGAGTGACCACCACACTGGTTCCAACCCAAATTTGTGTGGGCTTACGCACCCAAATCTAAACCAGGGCGTTGGAAAATCAGAGCGCTGGTTGAAGACGACTCGAACACGGGGTAGCGATCAAGCTTTTTTTTTTTTTTTAAGGAGACAGTTGTTTTGATTTTCTCTCCCGTAAACGCTTGTCCTTTTAAGGTGAGGGGGGGCCAAAAAGCCATGGCGCAAAAATTCAAAGGGCGACCCTTAGGCCCAAAGGGCCGATCGATTTTGGTCACCCGAAGGGAAGGATCCGTATTTCTTATGGGAAACCCTCCTTTGATTCCATGAGGATCAAAGACCATAGGTTGTTTCAACTTTTTGGTTTTGTTTTGCAAAAGAAAAATAGATGATCGGTTTACCTGGTGGATTCATCATCTACCAGGGATATCCATCTATTTCCCCAAAAGGGACACCTACTGTGGATGGACGAAATCCTGCACCGCTTTGAAACCAAGGGAGTCCACTGTTTGTTGGTATTTGCAGGGGAATCATCAAGCCAGGGATTCTCAGGTGGTGCAGGATTTCGTCCATCCACAGCATGTCAAAGACGCCCTTGCTTCCCTTATTTTTGGGGGGCTCCCGGTGAGAGCTTGGCCAGTCCCGAGCATGCGAAGTGACCGACCCCCCGACCCCGACCCCGATGGTCCTCTCTCTGCCGTGTCCCCCCTAAAAGTCGGAAAAGTACATAGTTGGTCGCCAAGAGTGCAGTTCGCTGTTCGGGCGGTGTAGCTAGAGGTTTTCCCACCGTGACTTTCTTCAGCATCAGGTACGCTGTACCAGGATCGCCAGTTGCTGTTTTTTGCAATGCACTTTACCCCAAAAACCCAGCAACAGTGACTGCAAAAAGCAGCAATCTAGGCAGAAGGCTTGCCTTTTGGGCTTTCCATACGCAAAAAACAATGGGTTCCGTCGAAATTTGTCTCCCATTTCTTTCGGAGGGTTTTGGAACATTTGGGCCAGTTCAAGTGAGCTTCCCTTTGGTGTGATGTTCAAAGCTTGGACATATACGAAGACCTCGGCAACACAAAAACCATTGGCTCCCCTCAGAAACTCTTTGGAGAATGCTGGGGCGGGTAGGCGGCTGAAGGAAAAGATCCCTTTTTAAACCACCGTAATTTGAAGTGAGCTCCCTTGTGTTGTGTTCGTTAGTAGGTTGGAACTATGGCCTTAAAAGTGAAATCTATCACTATGTGCCGGAGAAACACAAGCAAATCGTCTTCATCCTTTTTTAAAGGGGACGAAAGACCAAAGAATAGAAGTTCAACCCAGCATGGCTGCTTGGCTGATTGTTTGTAAATGTTTGTAAATAGCGGGAAACCAAAGGGATACAAGCCACCCTTGTTATAGGGCCCGACTATTTCCACCTAAAGCCGGTTCTTCCATTTCTCGGGGGCATTCTTCTTTGTAGTCATTTCCCAGGGTGTACTTTGCCAGGGGTCGGAAAACACCCTGCTAGAGACAAACCGGGCGGAACATAGGTGTCCTATGTCCTTTTTGGTTGTTTTGCTCGAAACATAGATGCGATCCCGATCGGTTTACCTGGTGGTTTTTTTCTCGTCTACCAGGGATCTCCATCTATTTCCCCCTAAAAGGACCCTTGCTTCTTTTTTTTGGGGGGGCTCCCGGTGAGAGCTTGGCCAACCCCGAGCATCCGAAGTGTTTCAACCTCGGGGTTTGTACTTTCCCAGGGGTCCGGAGGAGGAAAAAAAAACATAGAACAAAACACCCCCCCCCCCAAAAAAAAAAAAAAAACAGCACAAAAAAAACCCTGCTAAAGACAAACCGGGCGGAACTTTTGTTTCTGCCGCGAGGTGGACCTCGCCAGCTTCGAGTCGGTCAAGGCCTTCACCGAGGACGGGGAATCCCGTGGGCGCTTCGGAAGCTGTCCGCGTCCGGGTTTGGTTTTGGTGGCCGGGTTTTCTGGGCTCGGTGGGTCGGGGGGGGGGGGGAGGGTGCCTCATTTTCCTTCTGATCGACCGGCGATTATGCTGTAGGCGATTTGGGGAAAAAAAAGGTTGGGGGGGGGAGGTCTTTGGTGTGAACTCCGCTGTTCTTTGGGCTGACTTGGCGGGTCCAAGAGCGCATCCCGCTCCTTGGGGTCAGTGGTTGGTTCAGTGGTTGGGTTTCCGTTTAAGTTAAACTTTTAGAAGGGGATCTGAGGGCAGTTCAGTTTAGGAACAACCAATGCCTCCCACTTGAGAATGGGTCTGGCAAACTCATGGTGTGAATGTGCGTTGGAGGCTAGGCCCCTCCTTTTTGTTTTCTTCTTCCGGAGGTTCAATTGGAAGACACAGCCAAGCCGAAGGGGAGGATTTTTTTTTTGGACGCTTTCTGTGGATCGGTGGTCTATATTTTCCCCCACCCGACCGGACCCATGTTGACCCCGGCTTTTTGCTACATCCCGTAGGGTGTTCCCTCCCCTCCAAAAGTGGCCTGACTCAGGGACACCCGAACCAGGGGTAGTCGAAAAATAGATGGCGGTTCCGATCGGTTTACCTGGTGGTTTAATCATCTACCAAAAATATCCATCTATTTCCCTAAAAAGGACACCTATGCCAGGGGTACTTGGATCCGGGTGGTTTGATCCAAGCCACCCACTAAGCAAAGCGGCCACAGGAGCTGGACAAGTTCCGGGGGGATCGGCCCATCGACCGTCTGGTCTGCAACGCCGCGGTGTACCAACCCACCTTGGCCTACCCCAAGTGGACGGAGGCCTGCAATTTGTTGCGGTGGGATTTTGGGGTGTGTTCTTTTTTGAGGGGTCACCAACTTTTTGGGGTTTCAAGGGGACACCAAGAAGGACAATCACTCATTTTGGGGTCCCCACGGGGGTTTTGGTTGGTACCGTCCAGCTTTTTGGAGGCTCAATACCTTGGTTTTTGTTTTTCGGAAAAAGCACAAGCTGAGCACCGGGGTCCATTTTGTGTGTCTGGTCCAAATCTTAAGCAAGACGAGCACGCCTTTTTTCTTCGGGGGCCGGTTTTCGCCAATGGTTGTTGGTTGGTGGTTGTTGGTTGGTGCCGATGTGTTTTTCCAGTTTGCTCGGTGCGCACATACGGAGTTAGCTGCAGAGGGAGAGAAGTTTCAGGTCCACACATCCAGTTTTTTTTTTTTTTTTTTTTTTTTTTTTTTTTTTTTTTTTTTTTTTTTTTTTTTTTTTTTTTTTTTAGCCAGCATTCATGTTACGCATCGGGCCTTGAACCCCTCGTTTGGGCCATGGGTTTGGCGGAAACGATCCTAGATCGTTGGATGCAGAGCCACAGCCACCCGCGGCTATGTGTTTGTTTCTTGTCGGCAAAATGGCCAGCGAGGGCTGAGGACCGGGCCGTTCTAGGGGTGGATGCCCCATCTTTCTCAGCCATCGTTTTTTTCTTCTGCTTTTTTTTCCCCCCCTTTTCAACATCAGTCATTTTTGCAGGGTTTTGGGCGGTTTTCTGGAAAGAAGGATGGAAAGAATGGGGGTAGCTACCCCTAGACCCATGCTTCGCTTGAGGTGTCGCTTGGATGCTCGCTGGCGCCAGGCGCTTTTTGCCCCCCCATGAAAACCGTCCAGCTGGTGGCTTCCTGCAAGAGAAATCCCCCCCGTTTTGGGGGTCAATGTTCCCAGACCCGGGCTTGGAATGTCATTCCCTGCCCAATGTTAACCCCAAATCAATCAACCAACCAGTTTATTAATAGGGGGGTGGTTTTGGCCCCTCCATAAGTGGTCTGATTCCTCACTAAAACCCAGAAATGGCCACCCCCCGAATTTAATAAGCTGGTTGGTTGATGAAAAAGGGGTCAACATTGCTGATTTCGCAGGACGGGCACGAGCAGCAGCTGCAGATCAACTACCTCAGCCACTTCCTGCTGACCAGCCGCGTCATGCCGCGCTTTGGCTGTCTTGGCACTGGCCAGGGTGAAGGGGCGAACCTGTCAGGTGGGTTTAGATTGCCCAGATGGCCAAGTTGCGATCGCTTTTATCAGGCACTGTTGCTGCTCTTTTTCAGGCATTGTTGCAATTGCTTTTTTCAGGTGCTGTTGCGATCGCTTTTTTCAGGCCAAGCTGCGATCGCTTGTTTCAGGCACTGTTGCCGCTTTTTTCAGGCACTGCTGCGATCGGTTTTTGGGGTTTTGAGAGCATGGGAAAAACAGATCGCAACTGGCGATCCAGGTGGTTTGGACTTGAAGGGGTCTCTGGTTCTTTGTAGCAGGTCAACGGGTTTTACCCCCAAAAACCCACCCAAGCGGAACGCAAGCGTGTTTCGCCGCGCGGCGGGCTGATGAAGTAGGCGACTCCAAAGAACCGGAAGACGAGAAGGCGAACTCGGCAGAAGATTTGGCCCGCCAGGGTCCAGTGGATCTTTCAGAACATTCCCTGAAAGAGGTCATTGGGTTTGTCATGTTCGGGGCTTTTTTTTGGTTTGTGAGGCAAGCTCCCCATGGCTCCCGGCGAGTGCCCATGAACCACGAAAAGACCCGATTGGGTTCAACTTGCCATTGGAATGGCTCCTGAACCCACAAAGTACCTGTAAATATGGGGTGAGTTGCAACCATGACGGTTGGTGAATTCCTAGTTGTAAGGGTAGTTTGAGGAGTCAGGTCCCAAGTTGCATGATGAAAGGCAAGGACTTGTGTGGTGAGAGATGAAGCCAACTACCGGGGGGAGACAAACACAGGCCCCGTTTCCCAAGAACATCAAGCCGGGGGCGCTTGACGCCCAATCTCGGGATGGTTCTCCCCGGCCAAAGGGGCGCCCATTTTGGCGATGGGATGGTTCTAAAGCCGAGTCTCCTTTTGGCTTCGAAAAGAACACTCTTGAACCAGGGTTCTACTTTTGGGTAGACTTCAACCATGACCGATTTCGGGGGAATTCCTGGGTTTTAGTCTATCTTGGGTCAAATAGTAGCACCCTGCATTGAGCCATCTCCCAAATTGGAATCTGCAAGGACAGATCCCTTTCAGAGAGGCATTTAGCGCAGATGTCGAATTCGTCGAATTCGGAGCACGGAGCCGGGTTCGAGTCTCAAGGGAAGGATTTCCCCATACTTTTCGTGGTGGCTTTTTTTGGTGTTCCTTGCCCAAAAGTTGGGTAAGGACATACGGAGGGAAAGTAAGAGCGATGAGTGCTGGGAACCAACCAAAATCGAAATGGACATGTTTTTTTTGGAGTTGGTGCCCGCTGTTTTGTGTTTTTCAAGGGCACCAAGAGGAAAAGCCACTCTTTTGGGGGGTCTCCCACAAAGAGACACACCGAGTTCTGCTGTCCGCCATGTCCGGACCAGGACCCATTCGAATGTCTTTACTGTTGTTGGTAAGTTTTTTTTGGTTCTGTTCATTTTTACTGGGGCAAACAACAAAAGTCCAAACATGTTTTCAAACCACAAACCACAAAGCACACCAAACCCAAACAAACCACACCAACCCACACAAAACACACACCACGCCAAGCTTTTTTTTGCCAGCCCATACTTCCAGAGTTGGTTCGAGAGTTCTCTCAGGATGATGACGGACTCGGAGGATGCCCGCGTGGTGATGATCGGCTCGGTGACCGGGAACGACAACACGGTGGGCGGGGGCGGGGTGTACCCCATCGCCGACCTCAAGGAGCCCGTTCCAACACGGGAATTTTCCAGAAGCGCCGGGGTTCTGAGCGAATGTTGACCCCATATCCACCAACCAACCCGCTCTTTTCATCGGGTGTCCACGGGGTTTTCCGAAGGTTGCTCCATATCAATCCAACCAACCAGCTTTTTCATAGGGGGGGTTTTCCTAATGTGCAGTGACAGTGAGATGGCTCATTTTTATGGGTTGGATTTAAATGGGAAACACATATGAACCTCGTTCTCTTTTTCCTTTTTTTAAGGGGGTGATTGGTTTGGGATGCAACGTTGACCCCATATCAAGCAGCCAACCAGCTTATTAAATTCGGGGGGGGTGTCCATTTTTCTGGGTGAAACGTGGTTGGAATGAGACCACTTTTGGAGGGGTCCCCAAAACCACCCCCATATGAATAAACAGGTTGGTTGATTAATGTGGGGTCAACATCGAGTGGCACCTCACAGAGGGCCCCTTGAGGAAATTGATCTTCCAGGTACCCTCCCACAGGTGCCTTCTGTTTGTGGGAGGAAGGGTATGTACGTTAAAAGAGAACCCTTTGCCGGATTCTCGGAGCTTTCTCTGAAGAGTATGGTTTTGAGTTTCGTTGTCATGTGCAAGCGAGCCATTTCCGTTCAATCAAGCTCAAACAGGGTATCCCCCCCCCCCACCCCAAAAGGGTAATTATCCCCCCTCTTTGCTTTGATGTCCAACTTAAGCGGAAGGTCCCGTTTATTTTGGTCCCTTTTCCTATGGCGCATGGTGGCTTCCGCTTGAAATTCCGGCAACCTCGAAAAAGCCGGGGCGATTCCCTTCGGTTTCCCTCTTCTTTGCATGCCTTCAACCGCGCGCCAGCTCCACGCGCTCCGAACCCGAGCCGAGCCAGGAGCTGGACGGGCTGGAGCTGGGCTGTAAGAAGCCGATCGCCATGATGGACGGCTACAACTTCAACGGGGCCAAGATGTACAAGGCCCAAGCCCGGGCCGCGGGCCGCAGAAACCGCAGGTCGCAGGTCGCTGGTCGCTGGTCGTGTGTGTGTTTTTCTCTCCTTTATTTTTTCTCTTCTTTTTTTCCTCTGCCGTTTCCACCTAGGTTTCCATGCAAACCGCAGGTCGCCTTTGTCATCGGTCGGGTTTGGGGTTCCACCAAGGCCCCCATGGAAAGCTGAATGGCAACCAAGGGGACCCAAACCCAATTGGGATGATGGCAATCCTCAGTCAAGTGACCATAGGTGTCCTTTTTAGTTCTATTTGCTAGACAAATAGATGGCGATTCCTGGTTTACCTGGTGGTTTAATCATCTACCAGGGATATCCATCTATTTCCCCTAAAAGGACACCTATGCAAGTGACGGCTGGTAAGGGAAAGTCGACCAGCCAGAAGTTTACATTGGGTGCACCTCGCAAAACCCACGAGTTGGTGGTTTGGAGTGCGGTGGTTTGGGGATTCGAATTTGGGTTGCACCTATATGGCTGTGGGTCAAAACCAGTGGTACCATGTTGGGGTAGGTGAATTGACCACGGATGTTTTTCTAGACCGCGACTTGGGACTGAAAACTCAAATATTCAAGCAACACCCGAAGCCGATTGATCAGGTAGCCCTTAATCTGGTGCCTAGATGGCCAAGTTGCAATTTTTCTTGAGTCAGTGTTGCGATCTGTTTTTTGGGTAAAGTGCAACTGGCGATCCAGGTTAGAGCCTCGGGCTCAGTCCGCCGACATTGTCCTCTCCCTTTTCTCCGGCTTCTGCTCTCTCTTTTCTCCTCCTTTGTGTGTTCCCGCGTCTTCTCTCCCTCTCTGTCTCTCTCCTCCCCATCCTCCCCATCCTCCAAATCCTCTCTCTCTCTCTCTCTCTCTCTCTCTCTCTGCTTCTCTCTCTCTCTCTCTCTCTCCTTGTCTCTCTCTCTCTCTCTCTCTCCTTGTCTCTCTCGCTCTCTCTCTTTCTCTCTCTCTCTCTCCCTCCTCTCCATGTCTCTCTCTTTCTCTACCTCCTCGCTATGCCTCATTCTCCCCACCTCGTGTTTCTGCCCTCCAGGGTGGTCCTTTTCAGACAACGTTGTGGGAAAAATGGGTACAATGCCGCAAAAGGGAAACCCATTTTTTGTTTGTTTGTCCGTGATTGTTCTGCAAGCTATGGGGTCTCAGACAAGCTCTGATCGAGGTGGTTGGGCCGAGTTAAAACCCATAACTCCCCCTTGAACACATCAATCTTTAGGACGCCTAGTGATCTGGGTTACCGCGCTTAGCTGATCTTCTTGGAATCAAATCGTTTGAAGCACTGAGCCAGCATGTAGACTGTGGGGGCTGGACGGTGCGCGAACCTGCGGACCTGCCGGCCTTGAGCGGACGCGACGGGTTACCGCTGCTGCCATTCGCGCCAGCTGTTCGCCTTCTCATTGATTTCCTTGCTTTCGGTTGAGACAGACGCTTCCGAAACCTGCTTACCCAAACTCATTGGTTGTCTCCCAGCCACCCACTCCTTTCGGCCAGCGGGGCATGCCCCGCAAAGCCACGAGCCAGAGGACACCAAGCTGGCGCTCATGATGACCACCAACATGCTCCACGAGCGCTTCCACCGCTCCACGGGCATCGCGTTCAGCTCTATCTACCCGGGCCGGGGCGTGCGCCATGTGTTGCGGCAGTTGGAAAGGGTCGCCGGTGTGTTGCTTGCGTCTTTTTCTCATTCTTCTCCGAAAGCCTTAAGCCTTTGTCATTTCTGGACATTTTGTGTCAGGGGGCGAACGATGTACTTTCTGGCTTCTCGAGAAGTGTGATTGTGACTGGCAACGTGAAGTTATAGTGGCGACGGGAACAGACATGCACGTAGTGTTTTCTTCTCCAGGAAGGCAAGCCCCAGGTGACAAAACGCTATTTCCCTCCTTCCTTGAGGGGGAGCGCAAAAGTCTGCCCCTTTTCATGGCGCGCAAGGGAGAAAGGGCAAGTATCAAAACAGGGGGACCCCAAACATGAGTCGGTTTTCAACAAACCGCCGAACAAGCGCGTTTTCAGGGGGTGCCTGCCCTCAACCAGCCGCAAAGGGGGCCGTGGGCCCCGCGCTCCTGGGGTGAGACGGCAGGCTGCATCGCCGAGACGCCGCTCTTTCGGGAGAAGCGGCCCTGGTTCCGCAAGCGCCCGGGCGCCGACGGGCCGAGGAAGCGGCGGCGACGAGAGGGGGCGCAGCGCGATTTCTGGGTAAAGTCACTGGGGTTTCTCAGCTGGCTGTGGTTGTCAAAGCTGTTTTGGGATCCCATTTTTGGGGTTTTCGGTGAATTCGCCATTTGAGTCGGGATTTAGTGGGGATTGGGATGTTCGTAAATCTGAAGGTTCGGAGTGGTTGTGGAGGGTAATGTTGCCTCAGTTTTTGGGAGCCAGGGCAAACCGCAGGGTTGAGTCTTTTCCGTGCAGTCCTTGCTTCCACGTACCAAGGCGTCTTCGCAAGGCCTCTTCTTGGTTGGCCTCAAGCAGGAGTAAGACCGGGCGTTTCTGGGTCATAGCTCATCGTTCTTGCAGTTTTCCTTTTCTGGTTGATTTGAAAAAACACACAATCCAGTTGTTTTGTCATGCGCCTTTTCCTAAGTAGTGGGCTTCCCAATAGAATCCGATCAACAGTTCCCGGACAGGAAATGGCAAGGAAGCCACCCACCCATTAGGTAAGCAACCAGGCGCTCGTCAAAGGGACATGGTTCCCCTCAAAAAAGGTGTTCGACTTTTTTTGAACCAACCACCTGCACATTGCCACCCTCTTGGTCATTCCTCCCCCGTAGCATTGGTGGCTTTCTTCAAATTTCCTTGAAACTTGTACCCGCTGCACCTGGATCCAACTCCAACTTAATGGTTGTGCAACCCAAAACCAAGGGGTGGCTTCCCTCTTTCGGGTCCTCCAAAGGCGTCCTTTTCAGGTTTAGCTTGATTAGAAATAGATGGGTTCCACTGGTTTAGATTGGTTTTTATTCCATTCACCAGGGCTGCGAACCACTCGGGAATGCACTTCGGAGCGTAAAACCACTAGGAGACCACTCGAGAATGCCATTTAGCAGCATGAAACCCAGGGTATTTTACCCAAAAAGGATTCCCATATCGAGGCCTGAGCATTCCCAACATCCCAAAATGCCCAGTGTTTTCCATGGGGAAAAAATGCCATTTGGAAGCATGAAACCACTGGGCATTTTTCCCATGGCATTTTTCCACTGGGCAGTTTTCATGGGAAAAAATGCTATTTTACCCAAAAAGGACCCCCCCAAAAAGAGGCGGCCGCGGCTCCGCCGAGGTATTTCCCCATCTTCATGAAGTACATCACCGGCGGCTACGTGGGCGAGGAGGAGGCCGGATCCCGGCTCTTCCAGGCCCGGGAATCCGAATCGCCGGGGGGAAGGACCCACCTGCCTGGGTCGCCAGGGTGCGTTTTCGCGTTTTTTTCAGTCACTGCTGCGGTCGGTTTTTGGGGGTTTGAGTGCATGGGGAAGAAAAAACAAAGCAACGATCGCAACTGGCGATCCAGGTCACCCCTGAAAGAACGATGCGGTGGACGTGTGGGTCATATTTGAGAGGTTCCCTCGAACTACCCAGAGAGAACGGGATTTCACCCGCCTGTTTTCAGGCAATCACCTATTTCCAAGGGTATTTTGAGGGTCCAGGAACCCTTTTTTGGGAGTTCTTGAAGGGAAACCAAAAGGAACACCTGGAACAAGACGCCCATTTTTGCAATTTGGAACATGGATATACGTTTTTGTTAGGGCACCCTTATTGGGGTTGGTTTGCCTTAGGCCAAAAGGGAAAGAGCCCCCATGAGGATCGGGGGGGGGGGACTGAGCGGCCAAGAATATTCCGGTGCGGTTCTGGGTCCATTCTCACAGTTACTTTTGGAGGCACCTAGATATACTTTTTTCAGTCACTGTTGGTGTTTTTTGGGGTAAAGTGCATGGACAAAAACAGCAACTGGCGATGCAGGCAGTTTTTTTTTTTGGGGATACCCTAAAAGAAGCCAGACTCCATTTTGGATCCTTGCCCAAATCTTAAAAGACGAGCTTTCCATTCGGCTCGGATGTGAGCACCTGACTCGTGAAGCGCTTGACCGAATCCCATTTGCGGGGGGGCTCTTTTTGAGGGCCCATTACCCTTGGTTTCAAAGGAGACCCAAAGGAGAACCGACGTCATCGCTGTTCCATCGACACACCGCTTTTTGTCCAAGGCCATTTCCTTCAAACCGCATTCTTGGCAAACCACTGAAGCACCTTTGTTCGAGGCCACCCTATTTTACTCTGGTTCACCGTCGAACCCAATCCGAGGCCGTTTGTTTGACCCTATTTCGAGAAACGCCTGACGCATTTCCTTCCGACGCTGCAAGAACCACCCCAAAAGGGTTCCTGGACCCTCAAAATCCCCTTGGGTCTTGTTCTTAGGGGACCTCCAAAAAGAGCGGTGTTCCTTTCGCACGAGGAAACACCCATTTCCTCGGCATGTGTTTTTAGACCTCCAAAATCAGTTCCTCTCGCACGCACCGCCCATTTCCTTCTCGCCCCCTTCGTGTAGGTGCTGCACGACCCCGCGTGCACGAAGAGCGGGGTCTACTGGTCCTGGAACGGGGGGCCCCGGGAGGGCCGAGGCGCCGCGCTGGACACCGGGGGCCAGATCACCGGCGCCGGAGGCGCTCGCACGTTTTTTTCTCCTTTTTTTCTTCTCCTTTTGTGTTTTGTTTTGGTGTTTTCGAGAACTGTTTTTTTTGTTGTTGTTGATATCTATTTCGTCTTCGCGCTTTCTTCCGGACAAAATGGAGTTGGGCGGCGATTTTTCCCAGACAAAGGGGAGTTGTTTGTTTTCCCCTGTTTTTCCTCATACACGATGGAGTTGGGCGAACTCTTTTTTTCATTTTCTTTGCGTACAACATGGCAGGGTTCCCGCCATTTTCCACTTTTGGAACCTCCAGGGACGCGGGCGCTCGAGTCTTGTTTCTTTTTCTTCTTCTTTTTCTGCGCTAAAGTTTGGTGAGACCCTCAGAGGTTAGACGCAGGTGGACCTGAAAAAGGAGGCCCCTTTAGAGGCCGACGTGTGAGTCATTACCAGAGTGGCTCGTCTTTTTTGGAAGGTACCCTCAACAGGAGTTGTTTTAAAGGAATAGGCTTTCAGTTCCTTAGGTTTTTAGTCGGTTTTACGACCAGACAAATTGGGGGGGGGGTCTCGGCAGAAAGTTTCAGCGCAAACATGAGGTGATCATCAGCAGGAGTTATGTTTGCGCACAGAACTCTTGTTGAGTCTCCAATATGGGTGTGTCGTTCTTTAGGCACCCCCCCACCCCCAAGTGATGGTTTTCCTTTTTCGGTTTCCCTTGAAAACCCCCCAAAGAATGGGTACCCTCAAACAATGGACAGACCCATACGACATTCCCCCGGTGCCTCTAACTCAAGCCTTTGAGTCGATTTGGGGAAACCACACATTTCATATTCTTGGACCCTCAAACCACCCTTAAAAAAAAGAAAAAAACAGATTTCACCATCCATATTTTTTTGGGCAGTAACCCCATTTTAAAGGGTCGTTGGGTGAACGTAACGGGAGAGCAGTCGCAAATTTCTCAGAGGGATCTGCCGATTTCAAGGGGCCCTGCTGGTGACTCCTTAGGTGCGGGGGGCGGATGGGAGTCCATCTTCGAGAACGATCAGTCCGACAAGGTGCTGAACAAGGACGGGGCTGCGTGTCGTCTTTTTTTTTCCCCCCGGATGCTCGGACATGATTTTCCATCTTTTTTTTTCCCGGATGTTCGGATTTGGTGGACCAGTCTAGAAGTCAAACAAATGGGTCCTGGAGCGGCTTTGTGCCGCATCTATTTGAGGATACCAACACCGGCACCTGTTTTAGAGCACGCTCTGCAGATCAAGGAGGGGTTGAAAATCCCAAAAGGAACCCCTCAACAAAAACGGCCTGGCCTCAATAGTCGCTAAATGGATTGGGGAATCAACCGAAAAGCCTTCTTCAAATTACACTGCAACTCCATCATATCATGAGATGCAATCACAACATCATACTATTATATCACCAGATAGTGTCTTAAATACACGTACGCACGTACCCTGCCACCAATTTAACGTGGAACCTGACCTGACAGGCGGTCCCTTTAAAAGGAACACGATCCAAGGACTTTTCCCCCCCCCCGAAACGTCAGGTTCCGTACGGGTGGGAGGGCAATTCTCGAACAGAATCCCACAGAAGACGGAGAAGGGTTTTCTGCCATGGGGATGGATCTGATGGAGGTGGGGAACCGGATGCCAAGCCCATATCGCAACCGAGCACAGGCCGCGGTGGATGTTTCTTTTTTTGGTGTCCAACTTTTGCGACATTGAGTTGGCATCCTACCTTAGGGGGTTCCCTGTGGCTTTGCAAGTTGAATTGCCGCACAAGCTCGGGAGATCTCGGGAGTACCCAATTTTCGGCATGTCGAGGAATTCCCAAAGGGGCAAACCTAAGCATCCAGCTGGATCCATGGTTGAAACCATTGTTGGTTGGCATTTTCCCTTGGGCAGTTGAATCATACACCAGGGTTTCTGAACGGTGATACGAGAAGCAAATGGATCTTGCGTCCATCCAGGGATTGCCTATTTGCGCGCCTGGCTTCTGTGCCCGCCCCCCTTTGAACTGGCTGTGGCTCAAAAAACCGGTATCAACATGGAACCCTGGAAAGTGGAAACATGGACCAAAACCTGCAGTTTGCCCCACTTGTTTAATTTTGAGCCACACCCAAGTGCAAAAAACGAGGACCTGATGCAGAAGCTTTGGGAGAGTACCAACGAGATCACCAAGGCTGAGTGGCCCTTGGCGTACCAGCCCAAGTCCCCCTGCCCCACGCTGAAGGCGGGGAGAGACAGGTGAAAGGGGGGGGGGGTTCGAGGTCTTGGGGGGGATGGCCCCGTTTGTTCCCTCCAAACCAACTTTGATCCTTTCTGGTCAGAGTAAATCAGGGCTCTCTTGGTCTCTTCCCCACAAATCAAGTATGCGACCCAAACCTGTCAAAGTCTAGGGTCTGGCTCGACCTGCTAAGTAGTCTGCCATTCGGGCTCTCTTGAATTTCACAGTCGCACAAGGGTACCTCAACAAAATCTAGACAGCCAAATTGGAGATATACTGAGAGGCACTGGGTGCTTGGTGATTGGCAATCCTGGTCAAAACCACTAGCCATGTTTGGACGTCCTTTCCCGTTCAGTGGGTCATAGCCTGGATTAGCAAGCAGCTTCCTCACTTTGTCACACCCACCCGAGGCATGATTGCAAGTGCCCTTTCAGCACGTCATAATCTTTGTTGCGAAGCAGTTATCATGGTTGTTGGCTTCCGTTTTCGTCGGCAACCCGGGTTGCGCAGTTGAGCCCTCCGGCGACCCTGAACCCCCCCCTTTCCAGGTGGTTCCCAGCCATCCGGTTACTTAGGTTCATAGGTGTCCTTTTCGGTGGTGTTGCTCGCAAAAATAGATGGCGATTCCTGGTTTACCTGGTGGTTTAATGTGGTTTAATCATCTACCAGGGCCATCTACTTCCCATAAAAGGACACCTATGCCTTCAAACATCTCAGGAGCCCTGAAAACCACGCGTGAACCGAATGGAGGATCAACTCCTTGCTTCCAAGATCCAATGCCCCACAGACCAGTTTTCTGGCCCCCAAAAAAGCAAAAAAGGGGGGCGAGGGCCTCTCATTTCCTCCAAGGTGTGTGTGTGTGTGGGTGGTGTGTGTGGGGGGGGGGGGGTGCCATGGACACCTAGAGTCTATATTGCCACCATGAACCCTAAAAAACCAATACCCTTAAAGAAAGAGGTTGCAAAATAGACCCATTCAGTGTCCACCATAGGGGGGGGGGGGGCAGAGCTATTGATCTAGCTCCTGAGCCTCGAGCTGAGGTGGTCACGGCCGCTACCTCCATCTTGGGCATCCTGGAGGAGCAGGCGCGCATGAAGGCCACTGAGGAGACCCGAAGCGACCCGACGGAAGATCGACCCGAAGCATGGTTTTTGCTATGGAAAATTAGATGGCACTGGTTCACATGGGTTTGATTCCATTTACCAGGGCCATCTATTTTCCATCTTCCTGTGTTGCTATGCAAAAATAGATGGCGATTCCTGGTAAACCCTGGTGGTCTTTTCTCATCTACCAGGGATGTTTTTATCTATTTCCAACCTAAAAGGACACGTATGGACCGAAGATCGACGGAAGATCGATCTGAGCGCTGGAAGATGCGAAGATCGAGATCCGGTTGTAAGGACAGGATTCCTAATGTTGACCCCTGAGTAATAAATCCCTGTTTGTTAATATGGGGGTGGTCCCCTCCAAAAGTAATCTGAATCCCCACCAACGCCAGAGACACTCCCCACATAAACAAGCAGAACCAGGGCTATTATGAGCTTCGGATTTCGAAGGCGAGCTTCGGATTCTGGAGGAGAGGTCTGGGTCAAGTAGACCATCTCGGTATGGGGGCCACATTCCGGAGCTTTTACTCGGCCCGGAGGGGGGATGAATTCGAAGTTTTTCCGATATTTTGAGGGACAACACCACCGCTGACCTGAAACGAGGCACAGCTTGGAGGGGCACATCTATCATTTGTCCTCTTGGAAGCAACTACTGTCGAGCCGATTTGCTCCACACGGCGAACAAATCATTGGGGGACCACTTAAGGACTCTAGGGCTCTCAACCCATTCCCCTTGTACCTACTACCCCTGTTGGGGATTCCAGAAAAGGAATCATGGTTTGCCTATTTGCGGAATGAACAAGCAGCTTATTGGAATGAACACGCAGCTGTTCCGGCAGTGTGGAAGCCCTTTTCAAGGGAGGCTGTTCATGGCAAAAGCCGAACCCGGGAGAGAGAATATGGCGAAAGAAGGCCCAAATTGTAGGACATCCGCCCTTTGAGAGTAACGCATGGTTTTGGGGGAAGGATCTAACGCACTGCTGAGGTTTTGATTGTGAGTCACCTAGAAATCGTCAAGTTGCGATCGCTTTTTTTTCAGTCACTGTTGCGATCGGTTTTTGGATGGTAAAGTGGATGGAGAAAAACGCCGAAAACGCACCTGCATCGATCCAGGCAATTTTGCAAAGGATCTCAGGTCTTTGCGACCGTGAAGGTGCCTTTCCTGGGGTTCACGGCCACTTTTTTTTTCCGGTGAGAACCGGTGAGAATAAAATCTTTCGGCCCATGGGAATGGCATGTTTTGTTTGGGTTGGAGCCCCACACATGGTCTGTCTTTTCTTTTGGGTTCCCTTGAGCAAGCAAACCGCCAAACTGTTTTCTCTCGAACCTCCAAGCAGGGGCCACGCCTGACTGCTGGAATGCCGCGAAGATCTGCATCACATGCGCGGGGTGTTCTCGTGATTTGAGAGAATTCAAGTTCTGGGTGTGGACCATGTTAATCTAGGCCCCCCAGTAGTGCCTTTTTACCCTTTTTTTGGGGAGGGGTTCCCCTACTAAAACAGATGACAGAAAAAGGGCACCCTTATTCTAACCTCTCTACTGGAGGCCCATGTTTTTGGCAAGCAGCAACTTTGGGACCTGTTTTGGCCAATCTGTTGGATTGGAAGCGAGAGAAATGACTTGTAATGTCAACCCCGGATTAAGCAGAACCCCTGGTTGATTTTCATCGGGGGGTGACCAATTCCTTTTCGTGGGGATTCAGGCCACTTTTGGAGGGTAACACCTCCCTAAGAATGGGACGGGTTTATTAACTTCACTGTTCTTGGCATGTTTCTTTTTTTTTCTTTCTCTCAATTTTTTGGTTCTGTTCATTTTTACTGGGGGGGTCTTGCAAGAAGCAAAGTTTTTAGCTACCCATACCAAGAGTAGAGATGCTCATCCTGGGTCGACCTTACCTGGCTGCGACTCCGAACAACTTGCTTGCAGGAGGGCGAGAAGATCGTGGCGAACCGGACGCTGCCCAAGGAGAGTCCCCAGCGTGTTTTTCTTCTTTGTTCTATTCGTTTTTTGTTTTTGTTTTGCTTTTTTTGCCTTCTTATTGTTTTTCCTATTGTTTTCCTTCTTTTTCTATTTTTCCGGCTGCATGTGGGGGTTGATCAATATTCCTGGCTGGGTAGGTCACTTCTTTTTCCCCATTGTGTGGACCATCTCGCGATTTCGGCGTTTTCCAGCCAATGGTCATCCCATGCTCATGGGACCTGATCAACCCCCATGATGGGGGCACTGAACATCTAGCGCCCGAAACCGCAACCAAGGTGACTCCAGGGATCGGGCGGCTTGGGGGGTTTGGCCCCTGCGGGTTTTGATACACGAACAAGAACAAATTCCGCGAGTCGAGCCGCTTCTCCTCCATTATATCAGGGTTCTGTTTTTGGACCAAGGTAGACTTCAACCTGTTTCATCAACTAAACCCCTGGGTTTAAGTCCACTGTGGGGTTTAAGCCAGACAGAGACCCTCGATTGTTTCAATGGAAACCAGCGATGGGACACCATCGTCACATGGTTCTTTTGAGGAGCAAGTCAGTTGCTGCCACTTTGAAGGTGGCTGGAACCTCTAAAATCCAGTAAATCACTCAAATGGGAAAGTCATGACATCATGTTGAAAGGATGCGCCCTAAGAGATCTTCGAATTCTCAAGGTTTCCACCACCCCGCCACGAGCCGGCACCCTGCCGGCTCAAGAGGCATCACAGACAACCGTACAATTTTGACTGACGAATCTTTGGTGCATTTTGCTTGGCTGTTAGGACTTTAACTTTTTGCCAACTACTGGGTTTTCCACTAAACCACTAAAAGTTAGTCACTTTTAGCAGGGGAGCAGAAAGCAACCGAGGAATACCCCACAAAGTGGCCATCGTTTCAAACAGGAGGTGCGGCGGAGCGAGCTCGAGAAGATGCTTTCGAAGCTCGACCGGACTCCTGCAGACCCAGAGGATCGATCGATCGATGGGATCGATCGATCGATCGATCGCGCATTTGCTTGGTGTGGTTAGTTTGGTTGGTTGGTTGTTTGGTTGGTTAGCTTGGTTGGTTGGTTGGTGGGTGGCTGGTTTGGTTTGCTAGTTAGTTTGTTAGTTAGTTACATAGTTAATTTGCTTTGTTTTTTGTTTGTTTGTTTGTTTGTTTGCTTGCTTGCTGGTTTTGTTTGTTTGTTTGTTTGTTTGTTTGTTTGTTTGGGGTTTCTTTTCGTGCGAAGCGGATTTGGTCTATCAACAGGTGTTCATTACAAGCGTTGATAAGACCTCGCCCTCGCGAAAGTTACGTCTATTTGAGACGGTGTAAAGGTCCGTCAAGGGCCCTTGAAACCAACGGGTGCGTTGCTCTTCCATTCAGTTGGGGTAGTGCCCCTTACACCCACTACCCGGATTTTTTTCGGGGTGTGATAGGGTATGAGAATCCTTGACCAAAGGAGGTATTTGTACTTGACAGACTTTCTTTGTGGTTTTTAGCCTCAATAAAGGTATATAGGGGGAAGCAACAGTTGATCAATTTACTTGAAACGAGTATTCGACAGTCGGGATTGCTGGATTTTCCCCATAGGTTGCTCGATTTGCTGGTGGCTTTGGAGGTTCCAAAGACTTTTAAAGTGGTTCTCAGCACTGTTCGTTTGTTGTGGGCAACGCCCGTTGCGGGCCTTTGCTTTTCAATTTGCCCTTACCCCAATTGTCCGCTTCTTTAAGAGTACCATGTCCCTTCTAGGCAGGCCCCCCCAACATAATAACATAAATTGATTTCGGTATTCCTTTTGGTTTTTCCTTTTGTTCAAATCCACGCCAAAAGGGGGGAGCAACTCAAAAGCAATAATCGGCACGCCCATTTGCGCCAGGCCTTTGCCCGAGACATGGCCCTCACCTCCGGAGCGGTGCCGGAAGAGGTGCGCGAGGTGTCGTAAGTGGTGAAAAAAACCTTTTCAGCCGCAAGCAAGGTCGGTCTCCTGGTGGTTTTCCTGTGGTTTTCCGTTTTCTGGTGGTCTTCCTTTGGGTTTGCAGGTGGTTCTTTTTTTGTCGATTGGCTTGACATCTGGTCACAGCCTTGCAAGCGCCAAACAGGGGTCCATTGTTGCTGTTTTTTCCTTGATTGGTTTGGGGTTCCCGGCTCTCATGGTCCTCTCTTACTGTTCCCCGAAAGGGCGGCTTGAACATCTGTCACTGTTTAGGAATCCTGGCCGAATGTATACTTCCGTGTTAAATCCGTAATCCATGTGGACGAAAACAGTAGGCTTCAAGCACAAGCAACAAAACACATCCATGCCGCGCCTTTTCTGTGGCTGGTTTTAACCCTTGTGCTGCCTTCTTTTTCTCTTTGGGCGCTGGTCAAAAACAAACTCACACACACACACCCGCCTGCCAGAGCTTGTTTGCTCTTTGCGAGTTCGGTGTGTACAAAGAGAAAAAAGCTTGGACTCCTCAAAATGTCTAGTTTGCTTTTGGTTTCCCTTCTTTCTTTTTTTTTTTTACACGGTTTCCTTTCAAAACTATCAACATAAAGCACCCCAAATCGGGAGAAACAGCAACATACGGGCCTCTTCTTGTTGTGGTGGTACTTCAAGGCCGGGTTTCGTCCAATTCTGGCCTGAAAGCTCGGCTGAAGAGCCGTGTGGGATGCAACTTGAGAATGGTCTTTTTGACCGCTGCAACAGTAAGCAGGCGGTGAGGTTTGTCTTTAATTGGCGCCTCGTTTTTTTTTTTGAGGGTGATTTCTTGTGTGCGGGTTTTTAAAAGGGAAGCCAAAGGAACACAATTTCCGGGGTCTCAAAAACGACACGCAACAAGAATAAGTCCCGCCTCTGTCGTCCAATCTGAACACATGCGAGGGACCCCCCAAGAAACCGGGGAAGCGGCTCTGCAAATGTCAGGAGACAAAACTGGGGTCCCTCCAGGAGATTATTCTTATGGAACTTTGTAGGAGTGTAGGTTAATCGCACACGTATGTCGACTGTGTCTTACGGACATCTTTGTAAAAGCTATCCTGGTAGAACCAAACATCAGAACTAGTCTTGGGCTCTGCTCGGGCGTTGGTTAGTTCTTGGTTGGTTTTCTTTTGGATTTCATGTTGACGGCCACAAGCCATCCTGCTTTTGAAACACACAGACACACCACCACACACACACACACACACACCAACCAAACAGCCAACCAAGCAAGCAAGCAAGCAAGCAAACAAACAACCAAGCAAGCAAGCAAAGAAGCATCCAAACACCCAAACACCCGCACCCACACACCCAGGCACCCACACTCCCACACCCCCCCCGCACCCCCACACACCTCAGCACATCCCCACACGCGCACATGCATACACATTGCACATGCCCAAAGCCATTCGATGTTGGGGACTCATGCAAAGGAAGTCTTAAAGATAATTCACATCTGGAAAAACAACAACAAGCATACTACTTTTTCATCCATATCTCACGAAGACAGGGGCTGAAGCAAACACCCAAGATCAACCGTCCCTTTTCCCCCTCCACCAGAACTCCACCAAGCGCAAAAGAGAGAAATCACAGCGGCCGTCAGCTGAGCCGCAATCAACACCTGGGTAGATGGAGGTTAGTAAGGGAGACTTCCAGCCAGAAATAGTTGCGGCCGCCTTCTTAATTCTTTACGTGTTTGTGGGTAGGCCATTTTAATACCGGGTTTGGAGCAAGTGACTCAGCTGGACGCTCGAGCTGAGGTGGGCGAGGTGGATGTGGAGAAGACGGTGGCCTCGCTGAGAGGCACCGACGGCGTCGCCGTGGTCGATGCGTCGGAGCTGGATTGGGACGTGCCTGAGGTGCGGGGCGCGGGCTGGGCATGAGATGAGGCAATCGAAACCATTTGGCTGGTCAAAACCAATGGTGGGTAGGTGAATTCACCACCCATTTTAGAACCTATTTTAGTGGGGATTGGGATGTTCATTGGGGGTATGGGCTTTTGACCCATGGCCATTTGGGAAGGTTCATATCCATTTCTTGCCATTTCATGTTGAACCCAACTGAATCAACCCTGGTTGATTAAATAGGGTGGTGGTCCTCTCCGAATGTGATGACTCACTAAATAAACCGGGGTTGATCAACATTGAAAGCCACGGCACAAGTTGGTGCCAACTCCTTTCAAAGACGTCGGAGCCGGGTTAGATGTCACTCCGGCTCATTCGGGTCCTTCGGGGAAGTGAGTCCCCTTCTCGCACCAGGGGTTCAAACCACCAAGAGCAATGATTTGTTTGCCCATTTTTTCTCCCTTGGATTTGTCTTCACCCGCCAAGTTTTACCCTTCAGGATACCCACCGTTTCATTTCCTGAGCGCCAAGCGAGGTGAAGAACACGGAGCCGCCCCAGATGATCCCTGGGCACGAGGTCCTCGGGGACACCCAGGCGAAGGGTCGGTGACGGGTCGCGTCAGGTTGGGGCGGGGGGAAGCCCCGTTTTTTTTTGGAGGTCAGCCAACAACACCACCGGATTTTTTGTTTTTGCATTTTTCTTATTATTTTTTCCGCTGCTTCTTTTCCATTTTTTTTGGGGGGGGAGGGGCAGGTTGTGTTGTTTTTTTTGGCAAGCTGCTGGCGTGCTCTTGGTGGGAGAATCACTCACTCAACCAGTTTTAGCGGACTCAACAGCGTTTTCGGGTGGGTTTTTTCGACGCGAGCCACTCCGGAAGGCGGCCATGAAATCCCTTGGCTAGGTGCCCTTTTGCCGTTTCTTTTTGTTGGGGAGGGTTCCCCTACTAGAATAGACAAGCCAGAAAAAGGTGGGTGCCCTGATTCTTCCTCCGCTCAAATCTGGAGGACCTAGCTTAGGTGGTTGTGAGTTTTAGCTGGTTGAGTGGTTTCCATTTAGCCCACAAGTGAAACTTTGAGAAGGCATACCCACGTACACACGATGAGTCAAATATTGGCATATATCACCCATGTGGAGTGTCTGGCTGCCTGAGACTCAACGACCTTGATTCCCAGCAAATTGCTGAAGGAGTTGTGTGGGGCGCGACTTCCATTCTCTTGGCGTATGGCTAAGAATACTTGCTGGTGCGATTGGTCGAGAAATGAAATGACCCCTATAAGCCATCCCCGATGGTTCCCTTAAAGGGAATCCCCAGGTTCATTCCCTCATTCCCTCCTGAGCACCAGCAAGAATTGGACTGTATGTGATTGTCTTCGTTCCCCTTGGCTTGTTTTATTGTCAGCTTAGGACGGACCAATCTGGATTGAGCTTCTCCTTGATGGTTGCATGTGGACCTTGATGGCTAAATGGGGACATACTGTAGATGTCCCACTTTTTGTCAGGGTTTCATTCGTCCCAACTGGTGCGTTTTGTGGATTTTGTCCATCCAAACGGTCACCTAGGCCTTTCCTTAGAATAACTGTATCCCCACGAACAACAAGGTGAGTCCTCCACTGAACGGGGGGCTTATGGACATTCCTTGCTGGTTCTTCGATGTGTGTTGCTGGAAAAAGGAGAGAAGAGAGATGGGTTTGAGTTGTTGGACTCAGCTAGATGGCCTTGCCGGGACTCCCCAACCTCCCCTCCCCCCCCCAACCTCCCCCCCCAATCTCCCAACCCAACCCCCCCCCCAACCCACCCCAACTCGCCCCCCCCTCCCAACGCCCCTGTGGATTGGAGCCAACTTCTCTCAGGTGGTCTTCCAGCCCCAGAACGTGATGACCATGGCCCGTGCCGGCCAGCCCCTCAGCGAGGTCGCCACGCAGGCCGTTTTTTACTTGCTCGAATGGCAGGGACCCGGACCCGCTCGGTCAGTCGGGGTACCTTGATGGGTTTCCCAAAACTTGGGGGAACGGATCTGGAACGGATGAAACCCCGCCGAGTTGTATATGAGGGTTGATCAAAAGCTCCTTTACACGGGTTGGAAAACCCCCCAAAAAGATGATACTCCCCACATGGGCAAAGCTATCCGTGGTCAAAACTGGGGGCCCCTAAATGGAATGGTGATGAACCCCCATGTGAGTTATGCAACAGCGGCGTTCATTGCCGTTTAAATAAGCGACGGTCCGTAGGTCTTCCCTAAATGGGCAATAGCAGTTGCGTGAAAGAATGACTATACACAATATGCACCCCAAAGCCCTCGAGGGGATCACACAGGCTTGCTGGAATGTAAGGAATATGCAGTATGTAACGTACCCCAACTTGTCGGGGGCAAAGAAAACAAATAAAAACAAAAACACAAAACACACACAAAGGACGCAACAAAAAGAAGCAGCAACACCAAACAACTAGGAAACAAAGACAAACACACATAACAAAACAAAAACAACAACAAGCGACAGCACACAGAAGCTTCTTGCCACTGGTTGGGCGCGGCCCCGATTGGCGCCACATCTTCGCATGTGTCAGGTGAACCTGTTCAGCTCCAAGCCTCAAAGCACCCACTTCACAAGCCGAGAAAAAGCGCGAAAACAACCTTAGGTCGTTTTCCCCTTTTTTTCTTCTTTCTTTCTTTCTTTCTTTCTTTCTTTCTTTCTTTCTTTCTTTCTTTCTTTCCTTCCTTCCTTCCTTCCTTCCTTCCTTCCTTCCTTCCTTCCTTCCTTCCTTCCTTCCTTCCTTCCTTCCTTCCTTCCTTCCTTCCTTCCTTCCTTCTATGTGTCCATTTCATTTTCCTCCTTTCCAACTTCCTCGTTTCCGCATTTCTCTTTTCCTCCCGCAGGCGGATGTGTTCATCCCTTACCGGTGCAAGAAGGGCGAGTGCAAGACCTGCGCGGTGAACATCGGCGGCAAGTGGGTCTGCGCCTGCCAGACCAAGATCCAGGCGCAAAAGCCTGGGGAGAGCTTCGAGATCAAGGCGAAGGGCTGGGGGAAGTGGGGGAAGTGGGGAGGGGGGTGCGGGTGCCCCAGTTGGTATGTGGTTGACTCTAGTCAAGATTCGTGCTTCCTTAGTCAGGAAAGACTGACTGGGACGAATCTTAGGTTTTTCAACTGGCGGGTTTGGCTGCGACCAACCTTCGATCTCGTCTGAAAGTGAGGGGATCTCCAAAGTGGTTGGTTTCCTTTGAGTTTCCCGAAACAAAAGCAACCCCACAAATTCTACCTTCCACCAGAAAAGCCACGCTGATCCGTCGCTTATTGACTGACCGGCGCCTGCCACCCGTCAAGTACAGAAACTTCCTATCTAAGTCTCAGAGAACCCCTATCCGAGGGTCACAGCAACCTCAACAGAACTTGCTGCTTCGATCGCTTGGAATTTGTTTGTTCGGGGCCCGGCTTGGGAAACCGGAAGCGGATCCGTTGGATGGTGAGGAGCTTGGGGTTATTCCAACTTTTCATGAGAGCCGGTCCACTCATTTGAGCCCTGGGACCCATCAAGTGTCCTGGGTGGGAACGCCCTCGCATTTTTTTCCCGCCCACTCCCGATGCCCACGTTGGCTTGTGCCAAGGCTGATGTCAACCCTGGAAAAGCTCATGAGCAAACACACCATTAGACATACTTTTTTTCTCGGTGGGGAAGACAGACACCAGGTTTTCCGGAGAAAAAAGGCAAACCCTCACCCTAGTCACCTAAGTTATAACCTTGGTTATAGCCTGCTGAACAATCCACCTTGTTGGATCTCTTCAATTGGTGTTGGTTTAAGCTCTTACTAAGCAGGGTCAAACATCCAAGTGGGTTGGTCTTCCCCACGAATGGCCGTTTCCTTTTGGTTTTCCTTTTCACCCACCAAAACCGGGGCAGCATGGGCCCCAAAGCCCCCTTTGCGCAGGTGCGGCCAAGGGACGAGTCCTACAAGCAACAGGCGCGGACAGGTGAGAGGTCTGCCAGGAAACGAAGCCGATTGGCCTTGGGGCTTGTGTACTTGAAGCGGGGTACCTTGGGTAAGTGAGTCTAGTGTTGCCGTTTTTGTGTCTGGTGGTTCTTTTCGCATGAGACGGCGCCACCAGCGGCCCCAAAACTAGACCCCCCAGGTTTGACCCTACTCAAGCCCCCCTTTTTTTGTGCCTCGCCGGCCTTCTCTGCCCGAAACCATCAGCCACCACTTTTTTGAAGGGGTTTAACCCACTGCCACAAACTTTAGATGCACGGTACCGCCCCCCAAAACAACACAGATCAGTCACCTCTTCGGGCTTTTTGTCGTTGTCAGGAGCAGGCGGCATCTTCCTTGGTTGGTTCATGGCTTCACCCCCCCCAAGAAAAACACCACCGACGCAAACAGCCGCCACCCCAAGTGGGTATGTTTCGTTGGGCTCGTTCACCCCCTCATGTCTTTTTGGGCTACATAGTTCAGCCCCCAAACAACAAACCTGGAAGCAACAGTCGCCACTTTTTCATTTCAGGATACCTTGCTTTCGGTTGGTTCACCCTCCAACCCACCAAACAAAGCGGTTAAAAAGGGTATAAACTTTGATTCATACCCCCCTTGTTGTTTTTTTTCCTTCTTTTTTTGTGGCTGGTTCACTCCCCCAAAGCTACCCCCAAAAAACCCGACGCAAAACACACAACAAAAACACACCACAAAGACGTTTCGCTCTTCCGAAGCCACAAGAAAACACGACCCGACGACGCAAGAAGAAGAATCGAAAAGAAGCGGAAAACAAAAACCTTCGCGGCGAGGAGAAGGCTGCCTTCTTTAGCCCCAAGAGCTTCTTGGACGGGGTGGTGAACAACGGCCTGGGGGTCTTCGGCTTCGTGAAGGATTGGGATCGATCCAACTGCCTGTGGTTGTCAAAACCAATGGTACGATTTTGGGGTAGGTGAATTCACCACCCATTTTAGAACCTATTTTAGTGGGGATTGGGATGTTCACTGGGGGTACGGGATTTTGACCCATGGCCAACTGTGATAGCTTTAGTTGGAACCTAGAAATCGCCAGGTTGCTTTTTCGTTCTTTTTTTTCCAGTCACTGTTGCGATCGGTTTTGGGGGTTTTGAGTGCATGGAGAAAAAGCAGCA